GGGGGGGGGGGGGGGGGGGGGGGGGGGGGGGCATTGCCCAATTTGACGACTTTGGGTATTCCTTGTCTAGAGAAAATACAATCGAGTTTGGGGATAACGGTGTTGGCATGCAGTTGTGGAGTGGAGTATTTCGACCTCTGGAAATCTGCTGAATTCGTCATTGACCACAAGTAAAACTTCCCGAGGGGAATGGACCAACGAAGTCAATAGCGATTTCATTCCACGGCGCTTTGGGTAGTGGCCTAAGTGGGGTCATATTCAATGGCTTCTGGTTTTGGCATGGTATCTTGTGTCGCTGCTTGACATGGGATGCAGTGTTTGATTCTCCCTTGAACCATCCTGTCAATCAACAGAAACCAAACCTTTTCACGTAATAACCGCTTGGTCTTTACTATTCCTTGATGACCTGTGTGTGCCAATTCAATAGCTTGATGGTGAAGTGATTTTGGAAGGACCAGACGTGTTCCTCGGATGATTAAACCATCGCAAACGGAAAGTTCATCCTTAACGTTTGTGTACAGCTGGATTTCTGGGTCAGACCAGTGATTGGTTTGACTGCTTGTGATAGGTTTTGGAGTGTGGAATCGTTCTTCGTTTCTTTCTTGAATTCTGATAAGGTCATAGCTTTTGGAATTATGTTGTTGCAAAGGTAGTTGGACGGTGAATATATAGTGGGGTTCCTCCTTTGTAGAGGTTTGAACGACCTGACGGATTTCTTGTCGTTTGGGTTTGGATCTACAAACCTTGGCAAAGTGGCCAGTTTTTCCACATGCTCTGCATTCTTTAAGTTTTGCGGGACAGTCACCGGTATGTGGAAAAATTCTGCCACAGTTGCGACATTGCTGTGTTGAGGATCGGGTTGTTTTGTGATTTCATTATTATTATTATTATTTAAACATATTTATCCACGCTAACCTTTCAGTTGCCTGTTTTTCAAAGGGCCGTGGTCTAAAACTATTAAAAATATATAAAACTAAATCTAAACCTAAAGTATAACACACTAACATTAATTCAAATTGAAGTATAACATGCATAACGACCTTACAATGCAAATAAACATTCGATAAAATTTCGGGAAAATTTCGCTATCTTAGCAATTTTTAATAAGCCTTTTGAACTGATTCAATGAAAGATGCTCATGTTCCTCGAGAATTTCGTTTGGAAGTTCATTCCATAACACTGCTGCGCGGTAGGAAAAACTTTTCTTAAGGAAGTTAGTGTTTGGTTTTGATAAGTGAAGTTTTCGTTCGTTACTTCTCAATGCATAATTGTCGTTCTGGGACATAGTAAACATTTCTGTTAAATATTTTGGTGTCATTTTGTTAATTGCCTTAAATGTCATTGTTTGTTCACGTTGTTCGAGGATATTTGCAATGGGCTCCCAATTCAATCTATTTAAGATCTCTGTTGATCTTATGTCATACCCTGAGTTAGTGATAACACGTGCTGCTCTTTTTTGTAATTTACTTAATTTGTCAATGTGGGTGATATTTCCATTGTGCCAAACTGTTGAGCAGTAAGTGAAATGTGGTAGGACTAGTGAATTGTACATTGTAATAAGGGCATTTTCTGTCAGAAAACTTTTTGCTCTTCTCAAAAGTGCAATGTTTTTTGAAATTTTTGCACATTGATTATCTATATGGTTATGCCAATTAAGTTGTTCGTCAAGAACCACTCCTAGGAATTTTTTGTTAGAAACTCTCTTTATCATATGATATCCTATTAATATGTCAGGATCTGAATTTATTTGATTAAGCCTTTGTCTCGAACCAACAATCATATATTCTGTTTTCTCAGCACTTAAAGTTAGTTTGTTAGCTAATAGCCAATTATGAACACTGTTCAAGTCTGAGTTAATTTTTTGTTGAATGTCAGTTGCTAATTTTTCGTCACAAGATATATTAGTGTCATCTGCAAACATTGATGCTTTTGTAGACCTTAAGCAATTTGGTAAATCTGCTGAATTCGTCATTGACCACAAGTAAAACTTCCCGAGGGGAATGGACCAACGAAGTCAATAGCGATTTCATTCCACGGCGCTTTGGGTAGTGGCCTAAGTGGGGTCATATTCAATGGCTTCTGGTTTTGGCATGGTATCTTGTGTCGCTGCTTGACATGGGATGCAGTGTTTGATTCTCCCTTGAACCATCCTGTCAATCAACAGAAACCAAACCTTTTCACGTAATAACCGCTTGGTCTTTACTATTCCTTGATGACCTGTGTGTGCCAATTCAATAGCTTGATGGTGAAGTGATTTTGGAAGGACCAGACGTGTTCCTCGGATGATTAAACCATCGCAAACGGAAAGTTCATCCTTAACGTTTGTGTACAGCTGGATTTCTGGGTCAGACCAGTGATTGGTTTGACTGCTTGTGATAGGTTTTGGAGTGTGGAATCGTTCTTCGTTTCTTTCTTGAATTCTGATAAGGTCATAGCTTTTGGAATTATGTTGTTGCAAAGGTAGTTGGACGGTGAATATATAGTGGGGTTCCTCCTTTGTAGAGGTTTGAACGACCTGACGGATTTCTTGTCGTTTGGGTTTGGATCTACAAACCTTGGCAAAGTGGCTAGTTTTTCCACATGCTCTGCATTCTTTAAGTTTTGCGGGACAGTCACCGGTATGTGGAAAAATTCTGCCACAGTTGCGACATTGCTGTGTTGAGGATCGGGTTGTTTTGTGATTTCATTATTATTATTATTATTTAAACATATTTATCCACGCTAACCTTTCAGTTGCCTGTTTTTCAAAGGGCCGTGGTCTAAAACTATTAAAAAGATATAAAACTAAATCTAAACCTAAAGTATAACACACTAACATTAATTCAAATTGAAGTATAACATGCATAACGACCTTACAATGCAAGTAAACATTCGATAAAATTTCGGGAAAATTTCGCTATCTTAGCAATTTTTAATAAGCCTTTTGAACTGATTCAATGAAAGATGCTCATGTTCCTCGAGAATTTCGTTTGGAAGTTCATTCCATAACACTGCTGCGCGGTAGGAAAAACTTTTCTTAAGGAAGTTAGTGTTTGGTTTTGATAAGTGAAGTTTTCGTTCGTTACTTCTCAATGCATAATTGTCGTTCTGGGACATAGTAAACATTTCTGTTAAATATTTTGGTGTCATTTTGTTAATTGCCTTAAATGTCATTGTTTGTTCACGTTGTTCGAGGATATTTGCAATGGGCTCCCAATTCAATCTATTTAAGATCTCTGTTGATCTTATGTCATATCCTGAGTTAGTGATAACACGTGCTGCTCTTTTTTGTAATTTACTTAATTTGTAAATGTGAGTGATATTTCCGTTGTGCCAAACTGTTGAGCAGTAAGTGTAATGTGGTAGGACTAGTGAATTGTACATTGTAATAAGGGCATTTTCTGTCAGAAAACTTTTTGCTCTTCTCAAAAGTGCAATGTTTTTTGAAATTTTTGCACATTGATTATCTATATGGTTATGCCAATTAAGTTGTTCGTCAAGAACCACTCCTAGGAATTTTTTTGTTAGAAACTCTCTTTATCATATGATCTCCTATTAATATGTCAGGATCTGAATTTATTTGATTAAGCCTTTGTCTCGAACCAACAACCATATATTCTGTTTTCTCAGCACTTAAAGTTAGTTTGTTAGCTAATAGCCAATTATGAACACTGTTCAAGTCTGAGTTAATTTTTTGTTGAATGTCAGTTGCTAATTTTTCGTCACAAGATATATTAGTGTCATCTGCAAACATTGATGCTTTTGTAGACCTTAAGCAATTTGGTAAGTCATTGATGTAAAGTAAGAAAAGCAGTGGTCCTAGATTTGAACCCTGAGGGACTCCGCAAGTAATTGTAGCTCTATCTGATATTTCGTGATTAATTTTGCAAACTTGCTTTCTCCCTCTCAGATATGAAATAAACCATTGTAATGCTTTTCCTCGTACTCCGTAAAGCTCTAATTTTGAAATGAGTATGTTGTGGTCCACAGTGTCAAATGCTTTTTTGAGATCAAGAAACAGTAGACCATTAATAAGGCCCTGGTCCATATTTACAAGACATTGATTTACAGAATATAAGAGTGCAGTCTCTGTGGAGTGTTGAGTGCGAAATCCAGATTGATTTGTGGATACTATCTGGTGAAACTTAAGGAGCCGATAATGGTCTCCCCGGCTGATTTTAATAGTTTATTTGAAATTTTATCCAAACCTGTTGATTTCCCAGCTTTTGCTTTGAATATCTCGCATCTTAATTAATCCATTGTTATATTATTTAGCTCGAATACCTCAGTCACTGGTGTCACGTAGTTAAGAGGGTCGGTATTGTTGCAAGATAAATTCTCACTCAATTTTTCACCAATTGTAGAAAAATAATTGTTGAATGCTGTTGCAATATTTTTGTCACCAGTAACTATACTATCCCCAACTTTTAATTCGTTAATTAATGTGGACTTAGATTTTTGTTCAATAGTAAATTGATTGTTCTCCATCCTTCCTTACTGTTCGTAGTACTTTCTAGCTTGTTCTTAAAGTATATAGCTTTAGTATCTTTAATAAGATTGTTAACACGATTTCTGCAATTCTTGTATAGTTCATGTTATCTTGTCGAATTATGTTTAATTGCTTTTCTCTTTAGAAAATCTCTATGATAGCTCATATTCTTAATTTCGTTTGTCATCCAAGGGTTATATTCACTTTTTACCTTTCTTTTTAGTAATGGGGCATGAATGTCAGCAATTTCCAAAAATATTTTCTTCCATGTGTACCAGGCTGTATTTGCATCAGTGCAATTGTAAAACAAAATTGAGTTAAGTGCTTGGTTAAGGTCTTGCTGGAAATTGTTAATGTTAAAGTGCTTGAATTGTCTTGTTTCTACTACTTTAGGTTTTGCTTTTGGAATACTAACCTTTCTGCATGCATAAACCAGGCTGTGGTCGCTAATTCCGAGGTGAATGACCCCTGATTCAATGATTTTTGTGTCGCCTATTTTTGTGATAATAATGTCTAATAGAGTTTTAGTTCTAGGAGTAATTCTTGTCGGGCTAGTGATTAGCTGTTGTAGTTGGTATTCATTAATTAACTCAATCAATTTGTTTGTATGTCGGTTATTATTTTCAGTTGATAGAAAATTGCAATTAAAATCACCAGTTATAACAAAATCTTTGTCCTCTTCATCAATGTTCTGTAAAAAATTTTCAAAATGGACAAATAATTCTATCTTGGCATCGGGAGGACGATACCATGTTGAGATCAGTAGAGGTTTGCTGTTAGGCTTGTTAATTTCAATACAAATAGCTTCTACTGTACTTGAAAGTAAGTGATTGCAAATAGTGTAGGGAATAACATTTCGTATATAAATTGCGACACCCCCACCATTTCGATTTCGGTCTTTCCGAATGAGATCCTAACCTGTGATATTAGCTTCGTTGTTGTCAATGGTGCCGACAAGTCTAGTTTCATTGATACTTAATATGTCAAAAATTTTATCGTTCATAAAAATTCTTATTTCATCAACATGCTTATATAGACTTGCAACGTTTAGATGGCCAAGCTTTAGATGGACATGCTTATATAGACTTGCAACGTTTAGATGTGTTGCTAGAGTGCTTGAATCTCGGTTGTTGATGTTTTCCGTGATTTTGCTGATGTTTTCCGTGAGTTTTGCTGATTTTTGTGTCCCTTTTTTTTGTGGCTCGTTTTTGACAGCGTTTATGGATGACACGCCTATTTCTACGGCTGTGGCTTGTGCTTCGCTTCGCTCTTGTGCTCTGGCATAGGTTAGCAGATCTTTAAGATTTGGGTTGTCACGCAGAGCTTGTCGTCGTAATCGCTGTGACAAACATCCGACGAACTCACAGGTTTGGACGAGTTGTCTAAGCCGTGTATGGAATGCATCGATATTTTCTCCGTGTTGTTGTTTTGCTTGGCGAAAGTTGTATTCTTCGAATGCTGAGTTAACCTGAGGGATCGATTGTTAGCGACAATGGCGACAGGACGTGTCAGCGAGAGCTCTCTGAGAAGATTAGTGATCGTGCACAGTCTTGTTTATATCTGCCGTAAAGTTGCCAATCAAAAAGAAACCCCCAAATTAATAGAGACTAGACAATTTAAACACTTCAACGCTTTGCTGTTTCAGAGTGATTTAAGTGAAGCATTCAGCTCTTTCTCGACTTTTAATGACCCAAACAAGGCGTGGGAAATTTGGAAAGAAATCTTTTTAGAAATCGCAAATAAACATGCCCCACTTAGGCAAAGAAGGGTTAAAAGTGAATATTGCCGATGGATGACTAATGAGATTAAGAAACAGAGTTATCACAGAGATTACTTAAAAAAGAAAGCGGTTAGTCTGAATTCACCTTACTATTTCCAGGCCTATAAACAATGCAAAAATCAACTAAACAAATGCATCAAGGAAACAAAGAGACTTTATTATAACTGTAAACTAGCCAACAGTACAAACTGTAAAGAGAGTTGGCAAACAATTAATGAATTATTAAATCGGAAATCTAAAACAACAGCGATCAACGAGATTAATATGAACGGCAAAACAATAGTAGGCGATGAAGAAATTGCAAAGGAATTCAATAAATATTTCTCTGAAGTAGGCAAAAAATTAGCAGAAGAAATTCCTGATAACGATATTGACCCTTTACATTATGTGAATCCAGTGTCAAATTCATTTACATTCAAAACAATATCAGAAGAGGATTTAAACCGCATTATTTCCAGTATATGAAAACCTGCAAATCCGCAGGAATTGACATAATCTCGGTCAAACTCATACAAGCAGCAGGGAAAACTATTTTGAAGTCCTTGAAAAATATATTCAATTTGTCTTTAAATACTGGAATATTCCCAGATGATTGGAAAATTGCTCGTGTTATACGCCAATCTATAAATCCGAAAGTAAGACAGACTGCGGTAATTATAGACCAATTTCTATTATATCAAATATCGCTCAAGTCTTCGAAAAAGTTATCTATAGCCAATTAATTAGCTACCTTTCTGAATGAAAACAAAGTTATCGCCGAAAATCAACCCGGTTTTCGTCCAAATCATTCAACAGAGACTACTCTCTTACATTCAATAATCAATTATTTGGACAACATGGATAAAGGATTGATTAACGGAGTAGTTTTTGTAGATCTTAAAAAGGCATTCGATACGATTGATCATGCTCTACTCCTGGCAAAACTTGAACGATGCGGAGTAAGAGAAACACCTCTCAAATGGTTTAAATCTTACCTACATCAGAGAAAACAAGTTTGCAAAATAAACAATGCCGTGTCGGATACAGTTGAAATTCATTGTGGCGTCCCACAGGGGTCAAACCTAGGTCCTTTACTATTCAACTTATATATTAATGACCTTCCAAACTGTCTACAGACAACCAAGGCTTCCATGTTTGCGGATGGCACCAACCTTTCTTGCAAGGGGCAATCATCTGCAGACATTGAGTTCAAATTAAACTGCGACTTAGACAATATTCAGAAATGGCTAATAAGTAATAAGTTAACATTAAACCTAGCTGGTTATTGTTGCGAGTTTGGCGGCTATGTAACTCCGACCTCTTGACAAACTTATCGCAAAGGTATGGTGGCGCGAGCTTATTTAGACACTTATACGCCCTCACTGTATCTTTGTATTACAGTTGTTGTTTTATAGGTAACCAGTTAAGCTGACGTATGGCAGGGCTTACGTGGTCGTACTTTTGTATGTTCCAAACGATTCTGCAGGCAAAATTTTGTACCTTTTGCAGTTTTTTTGTTTTTGCCGCTCGTGTTGGCACATACCGACGAACAGTACAAAAGTTCACTCATGACCAATGATGAAATAATCAGAAGTATAGCGTTTTATGATCGAAACTGCTTTTGACCCGGTTAATCTGGCATAGTTTCGACACACAGGATGAAACAACTTTGGTAATGTGGGAGTCAAATGTGAGGTGGGTATCAAGAGTTACACCCAAATCACTCGCTGACGTAACCGATATAATGACTTCTCCAAGAAAGGTCAACGACATTTCCTTAGGGAGTCTCTGCAATAATTGTCGGGTTCCTATAAGGATAAATTTGGTTTTCGAGGGGTTAGGTAGTAATTGGTTCGTAGAACACCAGTTGGCAACTCTTGCAAGGTCTTCTTCTAGATTTATAGTTGCTTGTTCCAGATCTTTAATGAGAAAAGATAGTAGGACTTTCGAGTCGTCAACGTAAGAATCGAGGTCGGATGTTTGCGGTGCCTGAGGTACAGTAGGTCGTTCACGTATATACTAAACAACAGAGGCGATAGAATGGCACCCTGCGGTACACCGTGCGTGATGGGGAGAAGCCAGGACACTGCAGATCCAATGCGAACGTACTGACTTCTACGAGACAGGTAACTACAAAACCAATTTACCGTGTCTGGCAACGCACCCACACGACCAAGCTTTTGAAGTATGATGGTATGACTAACGCTGTCGAAAGCTTTGGAAAGGTCTAACAGGATGAGTACTGACAACTTCTTCTTGTCCATAGCCTCCAAGATTTTATCACTGACCGATATGTTGAGTGTCTCTGTACAGTGTTTTTTCCTGTTACCACTTTGGCGCGAGGAAAGGCGATTATTTTTCATTAGATAGCAACTGAACTGATCGACTTCAACAATGGTATTAATTCGGCTATTTTCCATGCATCTGGGAACTCAGAGGTGGTGAGCGGTTTATTATGCTGGTTAGGGGTTCCAAGATAACAATGGAGACAGTCTTTGATAACACGCATGTTAATTTTATCTGGACCGGGGGATTTATTTGAAGGCATGGAGACTATAATAGCGCAAACCGTTGCGCTCGAGACTGAATATATTAATACAATTATAGAGAAAACACAGCAGATACATGTACAACAAAGTATATGAAACAAGTATGGAATAAGGTAAGAATTAAAAGTACAGTCAATGTCTGCTTTAGACAGGCAAAGAACAAAACATAGGGCAAACGTTCATTAATGATAGGGGTGGACAGTGCCAAGTTTGGAAATGAGACGCATTTCCATATCTGAAACACTGTGATTGCCAGTATTAAAATGTCTGGCAACAGGCTGGTTAACATCATTGCCAATGACTGCACGCCGATGCTCACCAAACCTTGTCGTTTCTCCAATATAGAACATGCCAAATCTACCGCATGAGATGCAGTACAGTAGATGAGATGGTAGGAGGTGCACGTGAAATGGTGCTTGACATGGTATTGAGATTTTGGTGCCGAAATGGTGGTGGCAGAATCTATGATACTTCAAATTGAAAACGTTCAACACCGCGCAACCAGACATATATTCCATCATACAAAGAGAGACTCATAAAAACTGATCTGTTAGCACTGTCGTACTGGCATGAATATCTTGATATTGTATATCTGTACAAAATGCTTGTTTCCTCCCAGGACCGGAACATCCAAATAAAGACAACTTGTCGCGTGACCAGGGAAAACAGTGGAACAGCTCAAATAACATTATATATTCCCCGTGCAAATACATTAACATTTCAAAACAGTTTTTATTACAGATCTTCTAGGACATTTAACTGTTTACCATCGGTTTTACGTCAATCAAATCTCTCTACTAATCAATTTAAATGTAATCTCTTTAAACACTATCAGAAAATGTCTGGAAACATTTATGACATTGGCGTGCCACAAACTTTCAAAACAATCTGTGTTAAATGTCATTCATGTCGTCCCTTGTCTATAGTCTCTCTGTTAAATCGTGTTGTTAATAATTATCACTTATATGTATTCTGTATATATAGTTGTGGTTACCCGAAAAGGAGCGTTCAGCTCTGTGGAGTGTTAAGCTGTCATTTATATGACAAAGATCGTAAAATAAAATAAAATCAGATCACGGGTTTTGCATTTGGCAACCCGGCAAGAAAACGTGTCATTCTGTGACGACGAATCCTGTGATAGGGGGCTATGAACTAGGGCCGGTTTCGCGGATATTTTTGCCGTTTCGAAAATAGACTAAGGGCTTATTGGAGAAAATGGAAGATGTTTCGGGCAATTCGGAGTCATTAATTTTCCAAAATATGGAAAGTCTTCCTAGTGACATCTCTGAAATTGAAAGGATGATAACTAAATATAATACTAAGGGGACTTTGTTGTTACCTGTGACATTGGACACAGGGTCTGTAAGGGTCTCAGATCGGGAATTTGGGAGGACTTCGAACAGGCAATGTCTAATAGAGAGGTGGGATAGCCACGTTGGACAAAAAAGTGTCTCATTTCCAGACTTTTGGATTGGAAGTCCTCATCTTCACTGCAAATGTGGCGAAGGAACTGAGAAAAGGGAATCGACCTTTTGTTGTGGCTGGGGTGGGAAGAGGAAAATAGAAGATAGCTATGGGAGTCAGTAGCCTTGTAGAACACGGAGTGCTGGATGGAAATTATTCACGAAGTTAATAAAACGTTCCAACTTCCAATCCGACATGAGAACACGATGGTGTGCCAAGACAGTCATCTATGTACCTTCCAAGGTAATCAGAGATGGGATCAGTGTATTGTTCGACGATATGTTTTCCACCAAACCAACTGTGGTATTCACCCCTTATTAATATACAACTAACCACAGTAATAAGTTAATTAGTAATGCACTATATTTTCAGGTAGTTGCATCCCTACCAACGAAAGCTTGTTCATTTTATTGGCACTACCTACACTGGCAAAGACAGTTCATGTTGGAATAAGGTCTATTTTCATGACCGAAATGACGTCTTCAATTTATCTGAATTTTATTTAGTTGCGATAAAATTTTCAAAACTATAAGATTTGTTGTCATTTACTTGCAAAAAATGTTTTCGTTGGTCTTGCAGTCCCAGAATAAAATATTTTTGCAGCCCTGAAGTATTTTTCTCGGCACAGACTGATCTATACTTTTGCTTCCGCTCTCCTCTAACATTTTATAATGTTACTTTATGTTTTATGGTCATATTTTTATTTAAAACAATCATTTTACTACCACACAGGTCCTTTGGAAGTAGCTATATCAGGCGGAGTCGCTGGGGCATGTTTTTGGTCTTCAGTTTTTCCCACAGATGTTGTAAAATCTAGGGTTCAGGTCAGTGTAGTAACTGTATTATTAATTACATGCATGTAGTGTTTTCAAGACTTTGTAAAATATTGGGTAAACTTAAGCAAGCCCAGTAGTCTTTGCAAAGATGATGAACATTGTATTTTTATTTTAATTACTTTGCCGTCATATGAGAAACCACAACTGCAGCTATTGCCAATTACCGCAGTCCCAATAGTACAGGAACAAATTTCAAAGTACAGTTGTTACACATAATAAACAATATTTGGATAATAGAACAACATGCTCATGAAAGGTTCGTCACAAATGCACACTTTTCCATGCATGTACAGGGACCTCAACGTCGTATGTATTCTCTAATGCTAGGATATATAGTAATCATGGAATTAAAGTAGTTTTTTGATGTTCTGTTTTTGGATGTAGTATAGTTAGGAATGGTATGTTCCATATTCTTGTTGCTCTGCATACCTCTTATGATCTTTGATAGGTTGACGTATTAGTATATATTTTATAGGTTGACGTATTAGTATATATATTTTGTACGAGTTGGGGTAAGATGATCTTGTTAATTTGTCTTGATGGTTAAGTAGTTTCTTCCACAATGCAATCACCAGAATGCAATATGGTTTCTTTAGAGTCCACCAGGAGTTCTGTCTTCACTCGGCTCACAATTAGAAAAAGTTAGAAAGCAATATTGCACACATTCAACTTTATGTTGTGATTATTGTAGACTGGAAGCAATAACAGTGGCTATCCAAAGGGATTTTTGAGTCTAACATACACTATTTTCAAACGCGAAGGTGAGATTTATAGTAAATATTTATGTTTAAAGGCCCAATTTGTGCTGCGATTTCTAGTGCGATTTTCGTCTCCTGATGGTTGTGAATGAGTAGACGAGTTATGAATGTTCCGAGTACAGTACGTGTCCCTTCATCTGAACATTCATAACTTATCCACTCGTTCACATCCATCAGAAGAAGAAAATCGCACCTATAAAATCGCAGCAATAATTATAACTGTGAACGGGCTTTAAGATGTGTATTGCAATTGTAGCTCTCTTCACATTTATTCATCTTATTCAGGTTAAAAACCGGCAAAGCATCTTTATATTGCTTAAGTTGCTATTATATATGCTTCTATACGCTTATATGGTTCTTGCATGCCGTTACTTGCCGATGTAACGCTCACAACGTTAATAAATATAGATTATTCATTACGTGTGTGTTTCTGCCAAGTACATGTAGCATGGTCATACATGGTTTATATTGATTTTTACAACGTGTAGTTTTCTGAAATTGCAGAATATAAAGCTTTTCTTCATGCGTGAAAGTTAAACTTACATACAATAAATATTTCAGAACCGACCCTGTGTTGGGGACTGAGGCGATTATTCCTCTGCCACCTCAAAATGACCATCCTAGCAATACGATATGGAACATAATTGAGCTATTGTACTGTTGCTGTATTTATATTATTTTACCTTTTACTCTAAACCTTTACAATTTCACAATTAGGTATTCGAGCACTATATAAAGGTCTTGGCCCAGCTATCCTACGATGCTTTCCAGCAAATGCAGCTTTATTCCTAGCGTATGAAGGAACAGAACGGTTACTAAAGTGAAACAGTCATGTGTTTCATTAAATTGTAAGTATACCGCGTATATAGTTATTAATCATGCTGGTATTTTAACTGTATCTTAAAAGATTTCCTAAACTTAAATACGGACATTAAATCTTAACAGTGGCAATTTATTGTTATTGCATGTATATATATTACGCGAGAAGGAAACTAAAGATAATAATAACATGAGAATTTTAATTATTTCAGATTGTTAAACCTTTCGTCTGAAGATAAATTTATGCTTTGCATTACCAATATTTTAATATAGTGAGGCTTACAGTGTTTGGTTAGCTTAACTGTTTAAGTAAAAAACGTACGATTACAATTACGAATAATTCTATAAAGATGAGATTTTTAAAGTACCTTCGAGGTTGAGTTCTCACAGCCTTCGGCAATTTTGTCCATGTATATATACATGTATTTTATTTTATTTTATTTAAATTACTATTCACAAACAGTATCTCCGTCTTAATCTTTTTAGCATGTCACTTCACTGTGTGAATTTTTGCCAGGATCCAAATGTGTGCATGTATACCCCTTGCATGGCACATAAAAATATCATAGCTTGTAAACAAGATGTGTTCCTGCCGCTTGTTCCATGCAGTTGTTGACAAGTCTGGAACAAGTTGGTATCATCTTGTAACAAGGTTGATGAGGCAAACAGACTTGCAGCAAGTTATTCCAACAAGCCTGATGGCGTCTGTATACGTAAGTTGTTAAATATATTAGTCTTGTTCGAACAACTTGTAGCAAGTCTGTTACCGTTATCAACCTTGTAACAAGGTGATCATGATAACAAATTAACTTGTTCCAGACTTGTCACAACAACTGGGAACAAGCAGTGCGAACACATCCTGATGTTGGCCTCGTATATAGGCGTAGCTCAGTTGGCAGAGCATTCACTAGTATCCCAAAGGTCGCGGGTTCGATTCCCATGCATTTTCCACCGTGGTCAGGCTAACAGCCTGCCCAGTGTGGATATATACACTCAGAGTAACATCGAAAACATTATATTCACCTGAGTACATAACATCAAAACACACACACACACAAATAATATTAACCTTGTTACCACTTGCAGATCTGTAACAACTTGCGCGTTTTTACGTTTGTATTCACGCAACGACTCGGGACCAATGACTGTAAACCAAATGATTGTGTATAAAGCTTTTTGTTGTTTTCCTGCATAGGTTTATCGATTCACTCGTGGAAGAATGCAGATTGAACCAAGTTGGTATTGTATTAGTTCCTAGTCGCAAAAATAGTTTGCAATAATTAGCGCGATATGACAGTATGTCCGAAATATAATACGTGGCGGCTCTGTCTCATGCAGTATTCTAACAAAAAATAATACGTATTTCTTTGTAACTATCTGAAAGAAAGTAAGAAACCTTCGAAATTTTGCGCGAAATATCCTTCGTATATGGGCTTTCTTCCGTCCCCTTCCGCCTCTTCGAAGTATTTTGTATCTCTTTCAGGTAGTTATACGAAAGTACAAAGGAAATCACTACCGTGTCGGTGGTTTTATATGTGGTAAAAAATCGTATAAACTTTAGGTTTGATTTTCTCGGCTTAGAAAATGTTTATTTTTAAAATTACTTTTTAAGCCATTTAAAACACTCGCAGTCCGTGCTTTATCAGACATAATATATGCACTCGCGAGCTGCGCTCTCGTGTTTTATATCTGATAAAGCACTCCTGCTCGTGTTTTAAATAGTACATAAAATAAATATATATTGTATACGGTGACACAATTTATTTTCTTTGATATGCTGTTTTTTTATACAGTAGTAATGAACTGCTACTGTACGGCCTTTTCGCGTTATCTCCCACCGATTGCGGTACTTCATGTATGATTATTAGCGGTGTGGGCATGATATAATTTTAATATTTAAATATAGCATTTTCATGAATATAATAAATTATAATATTATATTTACATAGTCCTAATATAGCTGTAGTATTTAAAGAATTAATAGTATTTAAGGAATTCCAATATTTAACGGTTTTGTATGTTAACACAAAATTTCTAGAAAACTACAAATAGTGCATATATATATATATATATATATATATATATATATATATATATATATATATATATATATATATATATATATATATATATATATATATATATATATATATATATATATATATATATATATATATATATAAGTATATATATATATTTATCACATACTTGTACCTTGATCAGGTAGGAAGCAGCGGGACATAAAAACGATATCGTCCCGGATATCGTTTTTTGTCCCGGATATCGTTTTTTGTCCCGGATATCGTTTTTTGTCCCGCTAAATTTCGCGCCTTGTCAAAACAAAGATGGCCGACTCGAGGTTCGTGTTGGTTGATGTGGACAGTTTATCGAAGAAAACAAGAACGATAATACAAAATGAAAGACTTAAATTGTATATCATTTATATGAATGGTCTATTTATTTTCTAAAATCATATTTGTTCAGTAAATGATGAATTGTTTTGAATTCCAAAATGATCCTATTTTTTCAAAACTGTTTACTTTTGGGTGTCAAACCCTGATAAAGGTACAAGTATATAATAAATAGGTTATCGTACTCGGGATTCGGTGATATCAGTTTTATCGCTCTCGGGACGATATCACAATTGTCCCTCGCTCGCTGCGCTCGCTCGTGACAATTGTGATATCATCCCTCGAGCGATAAAACTGATATCACCTCATCCCTTATATGATAACATATATATATATATATATATATATATATATATATATATATATATATATATATATATATATATATATATATATATATATATATATATATAGCTTAAGATTTTGGTTTACGAAACACAAACAGTGCTCAATACCATATAGATAGAGCGTAATATAGTTTTTCGTTTTACCTCAAAAACCACAACAGTCTGTTTCATCCGTATAGGAATCATCAGGTGGTGAATAATTTCGAAATTGTAGGTTGCTTTTATGCTATCGAAAGAATGTTCGGAATGCGTGTAGGCGAAACAATGCTTAGGTGAAACAATGCATGCTTGGGTCATTAGGTTTTGTTAACGACCTTGTTTACTCGAAACCGGTTTTTGTGCATGACGACATTTGCCGACGACATTTGCCGAATATATATATATATATATATATATATATATATATATATATATATATATATATATATATATATATATATATATATATATATATATATATATATATATATATATATATATATATATATATATATATATATATATATATATATATTAAAAGATTAAAAGTTTCTTGTCACTAGCTATGTAAAAAACGTAATCACGTTTATAAAAAAGGTTTTACAAGACGTTTCGATCAGAAACCTCCGATCTTCGTCAGTTGATATTAAAAAACTAAGAAGCCAATAAACAGGCCTCTATTTATACGGTTCGTTAGCTATTAATTTGGATGCATCAGTGACCCATAAACGTCTGGAATGTCAATATGGTCATTGCCAGAACTTTTGTCCACTTGGGAATACCAAGCCTTAAGGAACAATCGTTTGCGATAATTTTTCTCTCTACTAACTATTTCGGCGTTTTCAAAGTCCATATTATGGTCATATTGCTCAACGTGTTGGGCTATCTTGGAATTCTTATCATTATATTCAACAGCTCTTTTATGTTCTTTTATTCTTGTTTTCAATGCTCGGTTGGTTTGACCATAATAAGTAAAATCACAAGCGGATCGAAACGTCTTGTAAAAACTTTTTTATAAACGTGATTACGTTTTTTACATAGCTAGTGACAAGAAACTTTTAATCTTTTAATATATATATATATATATATATATATATATATATATATATATATATATATATATATATATATATATATATATATATATATATATATATATATGAAGATCGGAGGTTTCTGATCGAAACGTCTTGTAAAAACTTTTTTATAAACGTGATTACGTTTTTTACATAGCTAGTGACAAGAAACTTTTAATCTTTTAATATATAAATATGAATCCTAGCTGCAATTTTAGCATTTTTCGTCTTATAAATTCACATTATGGTTCGCGTGCTATGAAGATCGCAAGAGACCTTGAAAGGAAGTCCTATAGCATTGCCAAACAGAAGGAGCATTTGTCATTCAACCACGAGTTAAAGAACGCCAAGGTATTACCCAAAAGTCTCCGATTTACGCCACCGGTTGTTTGCAGAGAAGGTACAGATATAATGTCAAAAGCGGGTTGGAGCTTCCTGAGACTTCGCATTCAACACAGTCATCACAAGATCAAACGGAAACAGGATGAGTATCACGACAATTTAAACATTTTATCAAACATTTTATCGCGGCAGAACATTTGAAAGACCTCCAAGATGTCGTTAAGTATAACTCGGACAAAATGAAAGATACTATTAAGACCAAGCATGAACAAAAACTTAATTCATTAGGTGTAATCAAAAATACCGAAGCATATGTTGATAAATCGAGATGGGTAATTAACTTATCTGTATATACAAGACAACTGAACACACAGGAAACGCAGATACTTGAAAACGGTTTGAATTATGCCATTACACCTAAACGTATTCCCGTTCCGAAGATTATTGCCAGCATTGAATCATGCATTTACCACTTAAGTGAAGAAAGCAAAGCCACTATACGAGCATCTGTCGTTAATACCTTAAAAAATACTAAGGCGTTAAGCACAACTAACATGTCTAAACAACAAAGTCATGCTTTAAGAAATTTGAAGAAAGACAAAGATATTACTATATTGTTCCAGCTGACAAAAGGAGAGCGATTGTTGACTTGTAATGAATACTGATGATTACGATAGGAAAATTTCTGATTTATCACTTGATAAAAAGACTTACTTAAAGAATTACAGATAGACGTAGAAACCCAACCAGCAAAGTTGAACAAGATCTTAACAAACTTCTACGAGATATTAAGTCTGAAAGGTCGCATAACGATAACAATTTACCACAGATTAATGAGAAACTTTATGGTTTACCTAAGATTCATAAGCCAGACATACCGCTTCGTCCGATTACCAGCTCTCTTTCATTTCCTACGTACAATCTTTCAAAACACTTAGTAATTGTTTTATCACCTCTAATTAAAGGGAGATATACTGTGCGTAATAGCACTGACTTTAGTAAACACATAAAGGACATGTCTATCTCAACTGATGAAGTCAATAGTCATGGTCTCATTTGATGTCGTATCTTTGTTTACGTCTATCCCTGTCAACTTAGCTTTAAAGATAACTAGGGACAAACTTGAAAGTGATCGAGAATTATCAACCAGAACAGAAATGTCAGTATCTAACATTTTAAAACTTTTAGAGTTTGTATTGAAGAACAGTTATTTTACATACAAGAATGAATATTATCAGCAAACGTCCGGTTGCGCAATGGGATCTCCGATTAGTGCCACAATAGCCAATCTCGTTATGGAACACATAGAAGAAATTACTTTAACAACTGCTCTCAACCCACCCCGTTGGTGGTTCAGGTTTGTTGATGATATAACCATACTTGCCTAAAACGTAAATATGTAGAGGAGTTTCATCAGCATTTAAATTCAATAGACAAGCAAATCCAATTCACCATTGAAGCGGAAGAAAATAATAGATTACCATTCTTGGATACTGTAACAATTAGGCAAAATGGTCAAATTAGGGTTGATGTTTACCGTAAAAAGACGCATACGGATAAATACCTGGATTACACGTCAAATCACCCTCCACAACACAAGCGATCTGTAGTTAATACTTTACTCAATAGGGCAGAGAAAATACCCTCAACAAACCGGGGAAAACGTAGAGAGAGAAAACATGTCCTAAAGGTCCTAAGAGATAACGGTTACCCCTTACAATTCATAAAAAGCTGTGATAACAGGAGGCGATACAAAAACAAGGAATTAAATAGTTCGCACGAAAATGTGAATGCAACGCAAAAATCAACAGTTTCATCTAGTTATGTTGTTCTACCATATATAAAGGGCGTTACAGAAAGAATTACAAGAACATTACAACGTGAGAAAGTTCGTGTTTCATTCCAACCAACTCGCACATTACAGCAAGAATTTCCAAAGCCAAAAGATAAACTAGACACCAACCGTACAAGGGACATCGTTTATAAAATTGAATGTTCCGCTTGTGATTTTACTTATTATGGTCAAACCAACCGAGCATTGAAAACGAGAATAAAAGAACATAAAAGAACTGTTGAATATAATGATAAGAATTCCAAGATAGCCCAACACGTTGAGCAATATGACCATAATATGGACTTTGAAAACGCCGAAATAGTTAGTAGAGAGAAAAATTATCGCAAACGATTGTTCCTTGAGGCTTGGTATTCCCAAGTGGACAAAAGTTCTGGCAATGACCATATTGACATTCCAGACGTTTATGGGTCACTGATGCATCCAAATTAATAGCTAACGAACCGTATAAATAGAGGCCTGTTTATTGGCTTCTTAGTTTTTAATATCAACTGACGAAGATCGGAGGTTTCTGATCGAAACGTCTTGTAAAAACTTTTTATAAACGTGATTACGTTTTTTACATAGCTAGTGACAAGAAACTTTTAATCTTTTAATATATAAATATGAATCCTAGCTGCAATTTTAGCATTTTTCATATATATATATATATATATAGATATATATATATATATATATATATATATATATATATATATATATATATATATATATATATATATATATATATATATATATATATATATATATATATATATATATATATATATATATATATATATTTGAAGATAATAGTAATTGCAATGAACGTGGTGCTGGTTTACAGATCAAAGGTGCTCAGATAAAATGATCGAGCTGTTTTCCACAAACCAAAAATCACAGTTTATACAACAGTATCAACAATATTAACGTATTAAAACGTTTTCTCTTTTTAGTGTATAGAAATTAAACGTATCCTCTGAGTCTGTGACACATTTTAATGCCCATCGATGGACGGCCATGTTGATGAGACCAGTCATACCATATCCTTAGATGAATTTAAAAGCAAC